TGTGTGTGTGTGTGTGTGTGTGCATGTGTGTGTGTGTGTTATATGTGTGTGTGTGTGTGTGCGTGCATGCGTGCGTGTGCGTGTGTGGCAGAGTAGTTCTGAACATGCTGTGTTTGTACCATAGGGTGCTAAAGTCACGTGGGAAAGAGATGACGCAGTATGTTTGGAATTGCCAGAGCAGTGCTCACTGCGTGAAGCTTACAGCAATGACACACTCAAAGTATAGCAGGCCTCGCAAATGACTACCTCGGGCATGACATCACCTCGCGAAGAACAAAACTTTTAACAGTTTCCAGACCTTGTAACCATATGACTGCATACTTCCAATACTCAATCTGCGGACAGAACTGTTTCGTTTCATAGCGAGAAGTGAGATTAGTGACTTAGCAGACAAATCCTTCTCTTTTCACAGGCTTTGAGCGGCAGTGAGCTCCAAACCAGACCAGTAGGCGCATTGTAGGCCTATGTGTGACCCTAGTACACTCTGGCTCATACTATACTGTGACCACTCAGCCACACTATTGTTTATTCCTGGCCTGTAAATCAATGTGAGGTGCTCGAGAGTGAGGCGGGGTTCAAACTGACAGTACCAGTAACTGCATGATGTTGTTCTTTGTTCTGCAGGAATTGAAACCGGGACAACGTATGGAGTGTGCAACGGACGCAGAGTTCAGTGCATGGTCAAGGAGTGTCCAACGGGTTATGAGCATGCCTTCATAGATAGCCAGTGTTGTCCGGTTTGCCTACGATGTGAGTTCTACTTCTTCATGATGTTGAAATCTTTTTTTCTCTTTTTTTGTCGGTCTGGTGTGGCCATAGAGAGAATAAGTAGAAACACAGTGAAACCTCTGTCAGCCGACCGCTCGTGGGACCTTCATAATGTAGTCCTCCTCGTATGCACAGTTGCTCTCCCTACTCAGGGTCATTCGACTGGAAATAACATCCCTTGGTCCTATATACAGTGAAACCTCGTTAAGAAGAACACTGATAAGACAAACTTTCGCTTTAGAAGAACTAGTGTTCATAGCTCTATTGGATAAATCACTGTGAATTCACTGGGTATAAGGTATGGATAAGAAGAACTCCCGTTATTACGAACAAATACCATCGGTCCCTCGGTGTTCGTCCTAATGAGGTTTGACTGTATAGAGCTGTGGTGGTCCTCTTGGACAGGTGGTCGCCTTCTCAGAGTGGTCGTCTTGACAGGTTTTACTGTGTACGTCATGGATGGGGCACATTGATATTAATAAAATTATGCATCACAGTAAAGTGACTCTCCACAGCTGTGCTATGTGGCCACCCACAGTCTACACTGCACAGACAGAAAGAGGTTCCTTCTGAGTACTTAATTCCTTCTGACAGCTGTTTCGATCATCGAGATCTCATCACAGAAAGTTGAGTTGTTGGAATCCAGGACTCCGAATGAATCTCTAGCTGTTATGGGAAGTGTGTGTGAGGTCGGTCGCAGAGTGCAACTGTGGTTCAGTCAAAAAGTCAATTTGCAATACATTTTAAACGGCCAAGTGCTGCTGCTGCTGCTAACTCTGGGACATAATAGTTCAGCTGCTCACCAAGATCGTGTAATGTGGATGAAGAGTGCATCACACGGACCTAGCCCTAAGTGGAAAAGTGTCAGCAGATAACTATAGATTCACTGAACAATGCCAGCATTGAATATACTGAAGAGACCCAATAAGAGGAAGGGAAGGGTGCTGACCATCACAAATGCATTGCATGTGCTGGTGGGGTGGGGTGGGGTTGGTGTGCATGGCTGACCATACACCATCACCGGTCAATGGGGCAGCCGGTATGGTAGTACCCAGGCTTAGCAGCCTTGAGAGTTAAGTCTTGCATGAGATATAGCCATGTGCCTACCGTAGTTTCCGGGGTCTAAGCCACACTGGAGTGTAAGTAACACTTAGTTGTTGTTTTTTGTTGTTGTCATGAAATAGATATCTAGCCTTTATCAACATTAATTTCATCATCATAGTAAAAACCGCAGCGACGGTTTCGGGTGAAATACTGGTGTTTAAACGTACACTCTGCTAAATACAGTACTTGTATATCATGGTGTCACTGAGAGCAGTTTGAGTTAGTCCATTTTAACACCGAACTTGTTTACGGCTGGTAGCAGCCGTCATAAATTCCCTCCGGAACGGACATGGGAATTAACTATGTTTCGAGATTTGAACAGTGATCATACGTACAGAGACACTGGGAAGAACAATTACTCCAGTTCTCATCCTGTTTTCTGCTTGCCACACTTTGTTCTCTCATTCTGATTAGATCTAGCCAACAATTGCCGTGAACCGAAGAGCGTTGGACCATGCAAAGCATTAATACCCCGATGGTTCTACAATACCGATTCCGACCAGTGCGAGAGATTCGACTGGGGCGGCTGTCGACCCAACAATAACAACTGGCGCGAGGAGAGCGCTTGCCAGCGTAGCTGCAATACAGATCTCTACGAACCTGAGCCCGGTGAGTGGGAATTGCAGGTGGAGAACGTGCAGTTCATTTGGTCTGTAGACTTTTATTATTCTAAATATTTCTATCAACCATCTCAGAATCTGCCTTGGCACTTCCTGTAGTTTGGTATCATGACTTGATACGATTTAAGCAGACTACCAAAGCTGAAAAATAGACGTTGTAATATTCACTTCACTTCTAAAATCATTCATTTGCCGTTTCGGTCCTGGACCATAATCCTGATTGTGGCGGTGTGCGCAACACCAATTCAGTTTCTACCAACCATCAGCGTGTGAAGAAGATCACAGCTTGGAATATTAAAGCTACCGTTCTATGCCTACTGACTGACACTTTACTCATATCCAATTCATTGCCATCCGAAGTGCATGATAAGCACGCAGGAAGAAACCTTGCATTTGGTTAACCAGGAAATCTACCAGTGCCTGGTCAAGTCGTATTGTTTTAGGGAATTCCCCTCTCATAAATCGAGCTTGAGTTGGCTAATAAAACGTGCGACCAGTGCAGGCCTGCGCTCCTGTTGCCCACTGGAACGCGTCTGTCAACGCCAAGCTGGGCAGCTGAACCAAAGCATGGATATGCTGACTCACAGCTACAGTTGCTCTCTATTCAGCTCAGCAGATTTGCAGAGTATGCACTGGTTAGGTCGGTGAAAAGACCCAGTTCAACACTCTTCTTCGCTTGGTCAATGTACAAGGATACACTATTTGATTGGAATGTCATGTTTGGTTCTCATGATGTCCTTCTGCACAGGTACCAGCTGTCAGTATGTCACATGCGAGATCCCAACCTGCCCACCTGGTCAGACATTGCGCAATGTAACTGGACAGTGCTGCCCAGTCTGCCAGAGTGGTGGTAAGTGTGTGTGTGTGTATATCTGTGTGTTTGTGTGTGTTTGTGTCTGTGTCTGTGTGTGTGTGTGTGCACGTGTGTGTGCACGTGTGTGCACATGTGCATGTGTGTGGATATGTATGTGTGTGTGTGTGTGTGGTGGATGTTTGGGGTTCGACCTGTATGTGCCTGTACTGTTTTGTCAGGGGTGGTAGGGTATGTGATTTCTCTTGAATTACTGGGGAAAAGAGTCATGTTCCCTTTTTGCGATTATCTTCCCTTTTCGGTGTTATGTTCCATTTTTGGACGTTGTGTTTCTTTTCCCTCAGAAAGTAGTGGTCATCGCCCAACTGCATTGTAAATAAAAGAGGTTTTTCAACTGACAACCGCTCTATTCAGTTCAAGCGGCTATTTACTCTTGGCGCATGCGCTGGATGAAAAATTCTTTTGTTAGTGATGTCGAAAAACTGGCTCGAAATGTCATAATTTTTCGACATCACTAATAAAAGAATTTTTCATCCAGCGCACGCGCCAAGAATGAATAGCAACTGAATAGAGCGGTTGTCAGTTGACAAACCCCTTTTATTTGAATTTCTTCTGGTGTTTTTTTTAACTCTGGAGCAAAGTCTACATAAGCCGGCTAGATAGTTCTGATTGATGCTAGCCTGTGAGAAAGCCGACCAGCGAAGATGTATACCTTGAGTTGCTGGAGTTGCTGATATCGCCAACTTTGCTTTGCATACCCACACATAAGGGTATTGTATGCAAAAGAGAACACCAAAGAAAGAGTGGTTTCTTGCATGAACAGCACCAAAGACAACATGGCAAGTTATAGACGGGCTATCTGTCTCTGTTTCTGGGCTTTTTTGTTGCCTCCACAGGAGCACAATGTGGAGTGAATGAAGTGTTCCAGGCCTGTGCTCACCAATGCCCTGCCAGATGCAGCAATCGTGGACTGGCGTTTGCCTGCGCCCCCGACTGCGAGACCGGTGGATGTAACTGCCGACCGGGTTACCTCCGAGATGATATTGGCGTCTGTGTTAGTGAAGCCGATTGTCCTCCACGTAAGTGCAACCACTCAAGTACTCTCTAACTATTTACCTCTTCCCTCATGGTTTTCTGGAACTGATGGTTTCAAGATTCACTATTGGCATGGATTGAAATGACGTGCAAGCCACAATTACTTGTACATGAATCACTCAATGCAACCCCTATCTCCCCAACTCTGCCTTTCCTGGAAATAGAGCTTTGTGTGTCTGTATGTGTCTGTATATGTGTGTGTGTGTGTGTGTGTGTGTGTGTGTGTGCGTGTGTGCGTGCGTGTGTGTGTGTTTGTGTGTCTGTGTGTGTGTGTGTGTGTGTGTGTGTGTGTGTGTGTGTGCATGTGTGTGTGTGTGTGTGTGTGTGTGTGTGTGTGCGTGTGTTTGTGCGTGTGTGTGTCTGCATTTGTACTTGTTCTTCTTTAGTTGATCCTTGTCCCAATGGACCATGTCCTCTACCATTTTGCACTGAGGGATACGTACCACTTCGGCTACCAGGGGAATGTTGTGAAACATGTCATCCTGGTAAGCTGGGTGGAAATTAGCCTCCTAAGCGGTGTGGCTCCCAGGATTTATCTTTTATTGCGCTTTGAACAATGTTTGTGTGTGTCTGCATATGTGTGTTTGTGTGTTTATGCGTGCGTATGGGCATATGTCCATGCTTGTGTGCATATGTGCGTGTGTGTGTGTGTACTTGTGGGAATTTAAACTGAAACGGCAAGTGTACGCATTTCATATTTTGTTCTGCATCAAATTATATCTTCCTTATTGGCCATGGGCCATCGTGGAAATAAAGAATACCGTACTTCCCCACATATAAGCCCATGGGCTTATAAGTGAAAATTTGCTACAAAAAAGATTTGTTGCTGTGTGAACATGTTCGGGCAGAAGCCCATGCGCTTATATGTGCAACAAAGGTTTGTCTGTGTCTTAAACAACGGTGTTATCACAATGCTTAGCTGTATATTCAGCTCCTGGGTGTTTCACCAATAGTGTTCACATATAAGCGCATTGAGGTGTGCGCTTCTGTCCGGACATAAGCACATGCGCTTATGGTAATAATATCGTGCGTAGTCATTGATCATATCGACTCAGCTATCATGTCATGTACACATTCTTAGTGTACCACCTATATCTTCAATGACAGAATACTCAAATGCCTAGGCACGTTCGATAAGCTGACCACCAGCACATCGCGGCCACTGTTAAAGCTTTTTGAGCCCCCAATGCATCACCGGGGGAAGCCTGTTGGAGAGAATAATGGTGTCCATACGAACCCATTGAGCTGACTGAGTCAATCTCATCACTCCACACCCAAAGATTGCATGTACTCGGCTAATGCCTGTATAGCACAATTTTAAAGAATCTTTCATGGATGTGTGTGTCTTCGTGTGTGTCTCTTTATGTGAGTCTTTTTGTGTGTGTGTTCGTGTATGTATATGTGTGTGTGTGTCTTTGAGTGTGCGTGTCATTGTGTGTCTTTGTGTGTGTGTGTGTGTGTGTGTGTGTGTGTGTGTGTGTGTGTGTGTGTGTGTATGTACGTGTGTGTATGTGTGTTTGTTTCCTCACCCAGCTCCAGTCCCTCCTACCGTGCCTGCAAGATGCCGTGGAATAGTGTGTGACATTCCGCAGTGTGAGCGTCTTGGACTGATTGTCAACTACAGCAGTGAAGCATGCTGCCCTTTCTGCTCTCCACGTGAGTGATTTATTGCGTCTCACTTTGTCTCTCTTTGTCTCTCCCCCCCCCCCCCCCCCCCCTCTCTCTCTCTCTCTCTCTCTCTCTCTCTCTCTCTCCACAATCAAAGATTGCTTGTACACGGCTAATGCCTGTATAGCACATTTTTAAAGAATCATTCATGGATGTGTGTGTTTTCGTGTGTGTCTTCGAATGTGTGTGTCTTTGTGTATGTGTGTGTGTGTGTGTGTGTGTGTGTGTGTGTGTGTGTGTGTGTGTGTGTGTATGTACGTGTGTGTACGCGTGTTTGTTTCCTCACCCAGCTCCAGTCCCTCCTACCGTGCCTGCAAGATGCCGTGGAATAGTGTGTGACATTCCGCAGTGTGAGCGTCTTGGACTGGTTGTCAACTACAGCAGTGAAGCATGCTGCCCTTTCTGCTCTCCTCGTGAGTGATCTATTGCGTCTCACTTTGTCTCTCTTTGTCTCTCTCTCTCTATCTCTTTGTCTCTCTTTGTCTCTCTCTCTCTCTCTCTCTCTCTCTCTCTCTCTCTCTCTCTCTCTCTCTCTCTCTCTCTCTCTCTCTCTCTCTCTCTCTCTCTCTCTCTCTCTATGTCTCTGTCTCTGTCTCTGTCTATGTCTGTCTCTGTCTGTCTGTTTTTGTCTCTGTCTCTGTCTTTGTCTGTCTCTCTGTCTGTCTCTGTCTGTCTCTGTCTGTCTCTGTCTGTCTCTGTCTGTCTCTGTCTGTCTCGGTCTGTCTCGGTCTGTCTCGGTCTGTCTCGGTCTGTCTCGGTCTGTCTCTGTCTGTCTCCCTGTCTGTCTCTCTGTCTGTCTCTGTCTCTCCGTCTCTCTCTGTCCGTCTGTCTCTCTCTGTCTGTCTCTCTCTCTCTGTGTATCTCACTGTCTCTGTCTATGTCTCTCTGTCTGTCTCTCACTGTGTCTCTCTCTCTGTCTGTGTGTGTCTGTCTCTCTCTACCTCTGAGAAGCTGTTGCACACATATCACTTGACCCGACAGGACAGCCATGCTGGCTCTATCACCACTGATTTCCTGCAATGCGTGCTAAGAACAGTCCTGCCATGGCAGGAACTCAATTTGATAAAAGATTATAGACCTACCCAGTTCGTGGAAAACGTGTTTTCGTTGCTAGTGTTCATTTCTCCGGAAGTATCACCGTGATGGGCTCACCACCTGCAATCCACATGCTACAGCCCTGTTCTGCCCCACCACATCAAGCCACATTTTTCAATTTGAATAAGGGCATAGAGATTTCAATTATATTGTGTGTTATCATCGCTTTGCTTCTGCTTCTGCTGCTGCTGCTGCTGTGCATATCCGTGTTCAATGGTTGCCTTTTTTTGACATGGCAGGGCCCGGTTGTGAAGGCGTGGAGTGCGTTGAGACAGCTTGCCCGCCAGACACTGAAGCTCAGTATCCACCACGTAGCTGCTGTCCCATCTGTTTGCCCCGTGAGTACATAATACACTCACCATGAAAAGCCTTGAGTACATAATACACACTCACCATGAAAAGCCTTCGCAAAGTCGTAAGCTCCTCTAAATTCATCATGATTATGTCGTGAGGCCAACGTTTTTGTGTGGGAAATTGTTTTGACGGTCCTGGCTTCAGACTTGTCATGTGACGCAGCACACTGCCTTCAGAATAATTCTATGTGTCGTAACTCACCAAATTGTTTGTTTGTATTTGTTTGAATTCGCAACTTCAAACGGGCAGGAACACAACAACATGAGAGCCAATGTGATGATGGCTACGGCAATAGGCGGAATAAGGATAACAAATTGAAAATCAGACTTCTTCCAGCCTAGCAGCCTAGTCTTCACACTCTAAACGTCTGACGACAGGACCACGCTGGAAACAAGACACTGAAAACCGAATATGATACCTCGGACTCACACTCAGCATGTGCCTACAAGTGGTGCATGTCGACTGCCTGTCTAAAACTGGCAGTACACAGGGTTCTAGCGAGGTCAAACAAGTAGTTTCATGGGCAGGGGAAACAGTTACCCAGTATCCCGTTTTCCATTTTCCATTTTGCCATGTCAAGACACAGGGCAGAATTGTTGGGCAGAAGTTTCAAGGATGGAAAATACGTTTTTGGAGTACGGTGTGTTTACAATAGACCCATTGCACAATAACGGTCACGTGATCCGAGACGGGGCATCCTCTTCGATTTTTGTGCAGAGTATCAGTTGTTGAGCATGGTGGAACACAGTATTTTTCCATTTTGGAGATGGAGGAGAGAGTGTCGAGTGGTATGCCATCGATGGCTGTGGAACCCGTGGACGAACTGTCAAATGAAGATCGGTTGTGTAAGGAACTGAACAGTTTTCTGCTGAATGAGGGTGCGTATCTGTCTGGAAAAAGAAGGAGTTGTTGGAGCGGTAAGTTTTCCGCATTCAGTGGATATTTCGGATTACTGGAGATTGAAATTTATTTTTATTTTCTCTACCTTCTCTCCTCTGTCGATGTAGAGAACACTTCTCTATGCAGAACCCTGATGCTCCTAGAACTAAGAAGGGCACCACTTCCTCGAGTGTACCTTCATCATGGCCAACATTTCATGCGTCCCAGTGGATGAGTGATGAACCTCTGTTTCCCAGAGTGAGTGCCACACCATGCTTGCTCGTCTCCAACGCAGGGGCAAGTCGCCGACGACAGTGAAGAGGGAGCTGATGGAGTAGTACTATTGAACAAGCCCGTCGATAGTGTCCATGAGTTTTACTTTGGTGGCTATGTGCATAATGTGAAAGTCTGTCATATCGTGCACACAGCCACAGCTCGAACTCAGAAGACTTTCTCCGCACACCTGAGCGATGAGGCCGCGTCGCTCTCCACTTCAACAACAGCAGCTCGAGCAGCGCCAGCAAGCAGTCGATCTTCCTTGAATAGCGAAGCCAGGGATGGGTCATGCCTTTCTCTCAAGCTTCAGAGTCTCTTGGCAGGGCGTTCCATATCTTCGCAAAAGCAAGGATGAAAGTCGTCAGTGACAAAGTGTTCCGAGCACAACACTATAAACGATATCGCAGCACTGCGGCCCTCTTCTCGCCAGATAGCCAGGATTCCAGAGTGTGGAATGCCAGCATCACCAGGGAACGCATGGAAAGACAAGTGGGTTCCTTAGACTAACATTAGGGATGACGGTTGCTGCAAACAAGAACCCAACAGTGGTCCTTGGAAAGCATTTCGGGACTTCTTCTTTCAGAACTAGAAAACTTCAAAATGAAAAAAGGCTGGGGAGTACATACATGAACATCGCGTCGGGATCGTGAAAACACAGCCTGTCACAGGAAACTTTATCACGTCCTGCAGCAAAACCATGCATGCTGGTTGCATGCCAAGTGTGCAGCGCGTGCACAGCATGCCCCGTCTCGACCCCTCTCGCTTATTGCGCAAAGGGTCTATTCCATTGCAGGGGCGTAGGAAGGGTTTTGGAAGTGGTATGACCAAAGGTCAGTGTGGCCGAAGGCCGTTTTGGAGGGGATCCGGGGGACCTCCCGCGGGGAAAATTTTGTAAAAAAGACACAAAATCCTGCGTTCTGGGAACTTCTGGCACACTTCTGGCGCAGTGTGCAGTTGAGTCCAGTACAGTACTCAGTACGACTGCAGATGCATGGCAGATCTACGAGTACGAGTCTAGAAAAAGGTCAAAGTCTGCGCATATATGCATCGATGGATCCTGATTTTTTTGTTACGGTTTTGCACGTTTCGGACGAACCACACTTTTCGAAAAGTGGTACGGCCATGGTCGTACCAGTCGTAGCGGGTGCTACGCCCCTGCATTGATTTCATATCGACTGTGTGTGTGTGTGTGTGTGTGTGTGTGTGTATGTGTGTGTGTGTGTGTGTGCGTGCGTGTGCGTATGTGTGTGTGTGTGTGTGTGTGTGTGTGTGTGTGTGTGTGTATGTTTGTGTATGTTTGTGTTTGTGTATAATTATAATGCACATGTATGTGTATGTATATATATATGTGTGTGTGTGTGTGTGTATGTTTGTTGCCTCACTCAGCTGCAAGCCCTCCTCCTCCTACGGCGCCATGCCATGGTATTGCGTGTGACATCCCTAACTGTGGCGCTCTGAACATGGTCGTCAACTATACCTCTGGGTCATGTTGTCCAACCTGCTCTCCCAGTAAGTATCAGCTCCGGTTCTCTCGGACAGTATTGCAATCATAACATACTGTATCCAGTACACGTACTTTTGGTTACAACACTCAACTGAAGTAGCACGAATGAACTGCCCATACGCCTTTCCAGTTCACTGCAGCAAGTACTTGAGCATTTCCCGCTTCAACCTTGCAAGTCCTCATTCAGCCAAGCTCATATCCCAGACTGCATTACGTATGTGTAGTAACAGTGCAGTCCTGTTGATCTCAGTGGCCACGCTGGAGAAGTAACAGATGATTTTGTGCCGGAGGGCTCCGTGTACATGTCTGTTTGAGAGGATAGGAAGTAGAAAGTATCACAGTATCCGTTCTTTCTTCAGTCTGTCCCACCCCGTTCTACCTGATGTTTAGTTGTGGAAGGTCTTTGTTGTACACTGTCTCTGTCCTTCTGTTGAAGGTCTTTGTCCTATCATGTCTCTGTCCTCCTGTTAAAGGTCTTTGTTTGTCCTATAATGCCTCTGTCCTCCTGTTGACGGTCTTTATTCTATCATGTCTCTGTCCTCCTGTTGACGGTCTCTATTCTATTTTGTCTCTGTCTTCCTTGTACAGGACCCCCTTTGCCTGCAAAGTGTGCGGCAGTGACATGCTTAGCTATTGAGATTTGTGACGACGGCACTTATCCAGTGGTTTATCCTGACGAGTGCTGTGCTGTTTGCCCAAGTAGGTAATAGGGCGGTAACATTAGACACTCGGACTTAATGCTGCTTTTCGATTCACTCCACTCGTGGCGCAATGGCTCTCGTTGTTGCTAAACCCGTGCACCCATGGTCGGGGGAGGTACTGAGGCTCACTTCACCAGCACGCTGCTCCGGCTATCTCGCTGTATTGTCATGTCTCCTGTTTGGTTCTGTCTTCCCATTGCGTTCCCTGCGGGACTGTGCACTTCAGTATAAAGAATAAAATAAAAACACTCTACACTCTGCATTACAGGTATATATCCTGTACTCTGAGTTTTGAATTTCGTTTTCTATATCAGCTGTTGCCCTGTGTGCAAATAATTTTGTGTAGTGATGTTTCATGCTATGCAGTGTTTAATGTGAAAACATTGCAGCTGAGCAGTGGTACATATTCTGGTCCCCGTGCCGTTAGCCACTATTATGAAGGACCATCTCTCGAAGCTGATTTGGCTTCTAACGGTGCTTCTGTCTGGATGACATGTTGCACTCAACCCCACCCTCGCCTTCCCAAAGTTCAAGCCTGACTACTACTGAATCAAATTGCGCAAACAATTGTATGCCGCACCCTGGTGGATACACATAGGCGTGGGCTTATTGGTGTGTGTGTGTGTGCATGTCTGTGTGTTTGTTTGTCTGATGACTATATCCAGGCCTGCCACTTCCTGTAGATCCAAGGCCAGATCATTGCCGTGACATAGTGTGTGACATTCCGCAGTGTGGGCGTCTTGGACTGGTTGTCAACTACAGCAGTGAAGCATGCTGCCCTTTCTGCTCTCCTCGTGAGTTTGAACATTTTCCTTCTTACAAAACGTGCCGAGCATCACTGGTTTGACTACACCGTGTATGTTGAAATACACTGGAAATCTATAACAAAAAATTTCACAGCACTGTTAATATAGATGTAGGTAACAGTCACTGTAGGCCAAGGTGTGCCCGAAGTCAACTCTGACTATAAGGGCAGATGTTGGAGACCTCCGGTTTCAATGACCTTGCCCGTATTACCGGACCGATCTGAGCACATTGAGTATCTTGTTCTCGATGCATTTCCTGTCCACTTGGACTGACATTCCTGGTCTATCGTTTTTGGGAAGTGGCAATTTACTGGTCTATTTGTGTATGTGTGTGTGTGTGTTTCTGTGTGTGTGTGTGTGTGTGTGTGTACATGTGTGTGTGTGCATGTGTGTGTATGTGTGTGTATGTGTGTGTGTGTGTGTGTGTGTGTGTGTGTCTGTGTGTGTGTGTGTGTCTATGTCTGTGTCTGTGTATGTGTGCTGGTGTTTTTGTATGCATGAATGTGTGTTTGGCTCGTAGCTCCAAGAACACACAGACAAAACTGCACCGGTATTGGCTGTCCACTGTACAAATGTCTGCCAGGATCAATCCTGGTATACAAGAATGGTGACTGCTGCAGAACGTGCTCTCTTCGTAAGTAGTACTATTTATACTAGTGGGGATGGGAGTGGTGATGGTGGTGGTGGTGTGTGTGTGGGTGTGGGGGGGGGGGGGGGGGGGGGGGGTGGGGGGTGAACATTTTGCCCCTCATGACTGTGAGTAACACAATCTATTGGTGTGGATTGGATTTTATTTTGGAGTGTGTGTGTGTGTGTGTGTGTGTATGTATGTGTGTGTGTGTGTGTGTGTGTGTGTGTGTGTGTGTGTGTGTGTGTGTGCGCGCGTGTGTGTGTATGTGCGCGTGCGTGTGTGTGTGTTGGTTGTGGGAGGGGAGGGGGTGAGAAATTTGTGAACATTTCCCAGAAGTAGTGAGTAGATATGTCATGTATGTACGCAGAGCTCACTGACTTGTCAGTTTGAGCACTCTGGCAATGTACATTTGGGCCTGGTTTAAATCTGGTTTAAATCTGGCATTGGAAAATGTATTTTCATTGCTATCAGGTCCGGCCTCATTTTTTTCTTTGTTTTGCTGACGAGTCCACAAAGGATGGAATAGTTCTGTCTGCAGATTGAGTTCTGTATGTATGTTCGTGTGCCCAAACTCTCATTGTTTATTGATGTGCTTTGTTCTCTCCAGCTCCTACGGATGAGTGTGAGGGCATAGCTTGCGACATTCCTCAGTGCGGCCCTGGCTTTGAGCTGAACTTCACAGCGGGATGCTGTCCAGTGTGTGCACCAGGTACTTAATTTATCAAACATTGGTGCATCCCCCTCCCCCACACCTAAAAATTCGACCTAGGTTCAGCATGCAGATAATGACCATGAATGACATGCACCAGCCATCCTACACATATGCGGCCGTGCACTAGCATTGCCAATATGCACTCAATGAAACCCTAGTAGTAGCATGTTCAATGTGTCTGTCACACACTTGTTACTACGTAACTGGTGCTTTCAATTGGATAATGGACTGGGGACATGTTTTGGCCAATCATCCAATGATGCCAGTACTGCAAAGTAACGTGAGAGTGCCCCGTCTCGTGAGAGTTTCCCACTTTGATTTTACAGCCAGGGAAAGGAAAACCGTATGCCAGAGGGAAATTTTGTACGGTGTTGCAACCTTTAAAATAGTGTACTAAGGTCACACTTAGTATGTTATTGTGAGGAGGTCCGAGGGAGTACGGTCAGGGTGTACAGAATGCAATATGTGTACATGGTCCAGTGCTGCTCACTGAGTGCGTTCGATTATGCTCGCGATGTGAATAGGATGAATGGATTCCGAACCGATTCCAGGGCGCTCATGACATGAAAATCGAACGACTTGAATGCATGCGAATGGATTCATGAATCGATTCAAGTGCACAATCGAACACGCAGCCACCGAAATCCAGTCGCGTCACTCAAGTGCACGCTGGGCGTTGTGCAGCCCTAGACCTACGAACACTGGGCTGCGAAATGATGCAAGGCGCAAACTTGAGTGACGCGACTGGATTTCATTGAGCAGCACCGTACATGCCGTGCGACCTGAAAACGGGACACCACCTCCACAGCACGGCCACGAAAGGACAAGTTGATGGGGCGCTCTCGGGGTACTTTCCGGCAGACTGGAATGTTCTTGTGTACAGTTGGCTATGTTGGGTATAGTGCTGTTGTTTAGAGATGTTTGTTGGGCGTGAGCTGCACATTCAATATGAATGTAGACTGACAGTTTGTACCTTCTAACATAATTCAGGTTTTGTTCAAAACACTGTTGCATTGTTCTCCAGTGTGAGTTGCAGTGCAGCATCAATTATTGATAACTTGGCACTAGTGTATGGCATGTAGGAATGTGTTAGATGGACTACTTGTGTCTGCAAACATACATAGCAATATCAGGTTCAGCGATTAGTTCGAATCAACAAGCTATCCTGATGCATTGTGTGTGTGTGTGTGGGTTTGTTTGTGTTTGTGTGTGTGTGTGTGTGTGTGTGGTGAATGTGTGTGCGTGTATGCATGTACATATATGTACGTATATGTGTACGTGTGCCTGCATGCGCGGGTGCACGGTTGTGTTTTGATGCTGTATTAGTTGATCCGTGTGCGGGCATCAGTTGCAGTATTCCTCTGTGTGAAGATGGTTACCATGTCAATTACACCGCCGGCACCTGCTGTCCTGTGTGCACTGAGAGTGAGTTATCAGCACCTATAGTAGTAGTGAATATCAATAAAGTTGTGAACTAAGAATTGTTGATGTGTGTAATGGCTACTGAGGGTAGCCATGTGTCGGCTGAGAGAGGCCGTGGAGGAGAAGAGGAGGAGAGATTGTTGCGTTATAGTATGCAGGTACCATTGCATGTGTGCAGCTACATAATTATTATAGTCATGAGTGTACTTTTGATACTGTTCGTAGCTTCAATCAAATTATTGTCTCCATTCCGATTATTAGTTCTACAGTTCTCCGACTTAGTTGGATTTATGCTTTTAACAGCATACTTGGGAGAGTGAAGCACTAAGATTTTGAGGATGCTGTTCAGCAATTTCTTGGTGCGATTCAGCAATCTCTTGGTGCTATGTAGTAATCTGTTGGGGACCTGCACCAACACTTCGTATACATTAAAAAATGCTGCACCTGACGATCTATTCTCCCATACAATTCAATCTCCAGAGAGCGGAGTCCTCCGGTTCGATAGAGTGCTCAATGCGGAAGCAGAGCAGTAACACACGAGTCACAGAGTACCACGCGTCTGGATTGTTTTAACTAATAGTTTCATGCCAGATGGCAATCTTCAGACAACTGAAGATCAGTTGTCTGAAGACTGCCATCTGGCATGACACTACTAGTTACAACAACCCAGACGCGTGGAACTCTGCGACTCGTGTACACTTCAATCTCCAAACTTTAGATACTGTAGAAGTACAAATTTTCGTTCACGAAATCTTTCGTTAGATCACTCCACCAGCAGGTTCGTTACGTACTAATTTTTTTCGTTTTTGGTCAAGGTCTGTCACCCCGAAAGTTCGGATTAAACTTCTAGTTTAGTACAAACTTTAGTTATTTTGTGCCCCTAACGTATGTTAATTCCAAATGAAACCTTGTACTCATACAGTAGATTGAAAATGCTGTACCTGACATCATATTTTCGTTTCGCATTTACAATTATTGAAGAATGTATTGTGCATGTAAGCATGTATGCATGTCTGTGTGTGTGGGTGTATGTAAAACAGAGAAGTTCCAGGCTCTCCAATAGAGTGCTCAATGCCGAAAGGGAGAGCTGGTTACAACAATAATAAGAGGATGAAAAGTGTTTTAACTCCGAGTTGATGTATTTTGTGTGGGTGTGCACTTGTATCCGTCATATGCATGTATGCATGCGTACGTGTCGGCGTACGTGGGTATGTGTGTGTGTGTGTGTGTGTGTGTGTGTGTGTGTGTGTGTGTGTGTGTGTGTGTGTGTGTGTCTGTGTGTGTGTGTGTGTGTGTGTGTGTGTGTGTGTGTGTGTGTGTGTGTGTGTGTGTGTGTGTGTGTGTGCATATGTATTTTTCACATAATAATTATGTGTGTGTGTGTACATGTACGTGTATTTTTCACTTTTAAAATTGTGTGTGTGTTCCCGTACACTAGTTCCACCGCCAGATTGCAGGACGGTGAGATGTCGTGCACCGCCGAAATGTGTCAAAGGAGTAGCAGCACGCGTTGCCAAGGGCGAATGCTGTGAATCATGTCCAAGTAAGCCTTAGCTAGAATGACTACGATGAGTACTCAGAGCAGAAAAGCAAGGACAATCATGGCTTGTTTGCTGCTACTTCAAGTTTCATGCTCTCGCAATCAAACAAGCCTTGATTATCCTTGTTGTTCTGTTCTGTACTACGCTCTGCCTCCACTGTATTGAGCACTGTCAGCACACTGGGTACATCATCCAGTGTCATGAGTACTCGTGAATGGAAATGATCGAGTCTGTTGCCGTCGGGGCTTGTCAGCTTGCAGCTGTAATGGTGTAGCTGCCTGATTTTTTGGCTTCACCGTCCATATACTGTCTATTTGCAGCATACATGTACAAGTTGAGTGAAGGATTATCCGTGTCTGCAATTAGTTTTGTGATCTTCGTAAACGAGTTCTCAGACTAAATGTAGCATCTGCCTTTCTTTGAAGTGGGGCAGAAGCATTCACTGACAAAATGTCGTACATGTGCAGCACATTATCCCGACCTGTTGACCTCTGGGCCATTTATGCCTGGATTATGATCTCCCATGTAATCAGTGGTGCTAGTGAATTATGTATAAACCAATCCAGCACAGTATGTAAAGTGCTCTCTGCACATAAAGTGCTCAATGCCCAAAAAGGACAGAGCTTCCTCACAAGTAAGGTGGAATAAAGTTTTGTTGCAATTCCGAGTTCCATGCTTGCATGATTATCAGGCAAAAAATCGCAATGAGAAGTGCAATATGCGCAGTCGTTATGTACATGCATCCTATTTAGACACACGTCATCGTGCAGGCACCTAGTTACTGTGCATATTGTCAAGAGTCCATAATCCCCCAGAGTGCGCAACTGGGACGGGGTTGTGGGACGGCGTAATCCCTGATGTACGTCATTTTTTGGCTCGGACTTGTGTCATTCTGTCGACGTGCGGACGAGGTCCACCACGGTCCACACTTCCCCTACTCATGATGTCATTATTATGACATGCAACACGGATTTCGCCGTCCCAGATCTGATAAGTGAAGATGCGCACTATGGGGGGTTATGTACTCTTGATACTAGGGGTGAAACGGTTCGGGTAAGGATCCGGCTTTGGAACCGCCAGCTGAAAAGAATCGGGTACCCGTTCCGTCAAGTTTCGAACCGAAACTCGAAAACTCTCGTTCTCGTACAAATACATGTGCACGCCAAGTCTACTCAAGATTTTTAAATGTCTTACCTTATGATCACCGCCCTTCCAAAGGGTTCTCCTATCGATACTGGTCACTACGAGCGTACCTCCTTCGCACATGGACTCTCCGATGTCTCGTTCTTGCTCGTAAAAATGGTTTCTAACTTGAAAATAATTGTCACGGACGCATTTGGTCGGTCTGGAGAAAAGAGTGCATGGAACCGATACCCGAACCGTGGGAAATTATGCTGGCATTCGGGTACCCGAACATGAAAAACATGGAACCGTTTCACCCCTACTTGATACTGTACTTCTTCATTGCGATTCTTCGAGTGTTGCCTCCTCGTCGACTTTTCCTGCAAATGTATTCTACTATCCAATGCAATCTATCCGTGATCTTGGGTCACAGGCCATTGGCTAACTGTATTTTACATCGGCAATGGAATTCACAATGGATAGGACAGGAGCAGAACATTTTTGTTATTATCATTATTCTCACATTGTGCTCACATTATTAAACTACTACGCTTGCTGTGGTAATATTACTCTAATATCCCATCTATCATCACCCTGCAGATTGGAATGGCCAGTGTCCAAGTCAGAGGCAGTGTGCACACTTCAATCCAGTCGGACACCGTGATCAGTGCTGCCCAGCGTGCAACCTGACAATATCCCAGTGCGACGGTATTCGCTGCCCGCCTATCCGCGGTTGTCGCAGATATGCCAGTGAGGTGCAGGTGGGAGAATGCTGTTTAAGGTGCATTAAGCGGCGAAGACGCATCAACAACAACCCACGTGAGTACAAGTGAAGAATTAACGTGGAAATAACCATTTCATAAGAGCTGTGAAGAACATGGACTGTTACACTCAACACCACCAAATGTAACACAAGATTTGAGCTTTGCGAACGTATCAATTTGAAATAACAATTGTCACGTTCCTCTCCTTAGCAGAATAACAGAAAGTGAAAGAAACATCGAGGGCACAATATTCGTTTGTTCTCAGGTTTGACCGAACAAGGGGAAACCCCACTAATGTGATGGGTGTACTCGAAGTACTCTTCATAACTCTGCTGGGTGCAAGAAGTAATAATGATAGTATCATGGTATATTTGCCGTATGCCGAAGTTATATCCAGAACGTGTTTGCTGCTCAATATACGGAACGCGTCTCTGTGTGCTGACTTATATCCAGAACCTGGCTGTTTCTTGCTGATTTGAGTTGGTTCTACAGCCATGCTCACTGCAATCAGATCATATTCTTAGCTTTTGCCCTGCATTTGTGCACAGTCCGGGGTTTGCTTGTCTGGGATTGTACTGGACATTGCACCATAGCATTGCCACTTTCCAAAAATGCAGTACTATTCAACACAAGCTGCCATGTGAGCCATGGTTTGTTCTTTTATCGTTGCTTAATTAAAAAATGGCCCTATATGGATTTGACTGTGTGTGTGCGTGTGCGTGCGTGTGCGTGTTTGTATGTATGTGCATGTGACTGCACTCGTGTTTTGCGGGTGTAACGGTACCTTCATGTTGATACTATGTACCTGTACAGGTGCTGTTTGCGCTGACGTGGTGTGCCCCAGGGGAATGGCCTGCTCCAAGCGCAACAACAGGGCACAATGTGTCTGCAAGAAATGCTCAAACGTCACCGATCCAGTAAGTAAATGTGCATGTCACACCCTGTCTCGGGGAGAGTTTCGAAAATAAAAAATTCGTCTTGTTTGTAAGCGAACAAAGTGTTCGTTTATTTTGAGTATTTGAGGAGCTTTCAGCACTTGTGCCAGTACCGCTAATTATAGTGATAGTGAAATCGTTAAAATAATCTATTTCTTAGGGTTTAGTCGCGCCAATCAAAGGTTTGCATTCTGCATAGCATGCGATATACGTTGTACTCTTTCCAAATATGCAACACTGATAGCTAAAAAATTGTTCTAGCAAATTTTTGCTGGCTTCTTTGAGAAATTGCTCGAGTTTTTCCCTGCCATCCTAAACAGTCATAATATGCAGTGAGACATATCCCTCACCCCACTGTGAGACTCTTGTATCTGCAGCTGGGTTGTTTCGGGTGGTGGCAGCCGCCATGAGGTCTAACTAGATCGGAAGCAAACAAACTTTCTTCTATTTTTCTTTACTTCCTTCTCGTGAATTTTGCAGATGCGACAGGTCACAGGCAAGGATGGCAAAACGTATGCAAGTAGCTGTCATCGCCTGCGTCAAGCGTGCATGACATGCTCAGGCATCTGATCTGGCGTTTCTATCCTGAACACCGAAATACGCTTGTTTTGCACAACCGGGAGAATACGATGCTCTGAGGGGAATCACACACCATAGTTTCACTTTGTCATTTTTTGCTTTACTAGTGTCTGCACAAAAGGCTTCTTCAACTGTGCTTCTTTTGCCTTTTCACCCTGTAGCATTTTATGTGTCCTTGCATGATTGATAATGTGACCCAATAGAAGAGGGCAACTTACTTTGCCATGCACTCGGGCAGCTTCAGCGATACTATCACCGCTATTACCAGCATGATTGTTCTCCCGCCGACTTGCTAACTCTCTTACTCACATTCCCTTTCTTCTTTTCTTTCTCTCTCTTTTTCTCAACCGTACTTGCACACATGCTTTAGTAACAGACGAAGCGGGTGACTTTACTACTTCGCAATGTGCTCTTAGCACACTCTAATGTGTTGCTAATTCTTTTCAAAACTCAGATTGCCAGCTGTTTCCATTGTCATGTGACTTTACAACTGCAGCCACACACACCTGTGTTATCTTGAACGACATTACAATCTTTCCCAGTATAACATTTTAGTATGTTCACTGTAGCTCGGCTTACCTTCATATTAGCTGAAAATCACATCTTTGTCCCAGCTTCAACGTCTTCATTGTAGCCGTGAAGTGCCAATGGCTGGCACCTGGCAGTTAGCCATGCACACTGTCTTGTACTCGTAATGGCATGACTAGCGACAGTAGGAGTGATGGTACCGTCGATTCCCCTCGTTCGTACTAGACCCTGTGCGAACTATAAAATTGATGGATGTGCTATGATCTGCCATGTAAATCACGGTACCAAAATGCAGTATGACTGTCACTGCTATCGGCTACTTCGTGTTACATCTTGCACAATGCCACAATCAACATGTGTGCAGCTTCAGTCCACAGTGTTACAGCAGAGAGTTGTAAACATAATAATTATGTTCCGACTCCCTGGTCCACACACATCCGGCCTAACACTACTCTGGATTACTCAGGAGAGCCGTTGCCAGCCTTACACCAGCCCAAGTCAATGTTTCTCCAACATGCAGTACTGAAACAACTCTCGGACAGGGTATCAACACAATTTTGATTGTTGGTAAGTCATGAAGCAATGAAAACGTCTGTGATAGAAAGCTCTGCCGTTGGGTATTGAGCAGCGAAAGTCGACTACTGTGTGGAGACAATAAATTGAAATTTTAGCGGAGTGCTCCTCAAGGAAGACAATACTAATAATAATCATTATGATTGGCCATATGCACTACTAATACTATGCCTCATGTAAAAGGCTGTAGACCATACAAGGATACATGTACAGCCCTGCTCAATGAAATCCGATTGTGTGAGTCAAGTGTGTGCCCTGCACCTGTTCTCATCCCAGTGTACTCCGGTCACCTGTACTGGCTGTAGAGGTGTGCAGAGCCCAGTGCGGCTCGCTTCATTGGGTTTCATTGAGTAGTACTGCAAGTAATTAGTTAGTTACTAGTTACTGCCTTCATCTGATAACCCACACACTGACGAGTCCACAAAGGACGAAACAGGTCTGTCCGCAGATTGATAAACTATACAAATATTTCCATTTTCTACCAACGTGAGATTTGTTGAGAATTGGTCTGTACTCTGCAGGACAGTGCATTATTATGTTAGAACATCAGCACTGCCATAGGACTCAGCTGGGTCCCTTTCTTTGGAAATACGGCCTGCATTATACACAACATGTTACAGGTGTCCCGTTCCACATGCACCACCAAAAGAATCTGGTGTTCTGGCTGACCTGCAATATTCTCAACTCCTGCTCTTTTGTGGAGGTAGCTGTCACATGTCATTGAGGCGTGTCCAAAAGATGACTTGAATTCGTTTCGGCAGTAACTGTTAGAGAAGCGTCTCCCCTACTTCATCCAGCTCCATCATAAGATCCGGAGAGATCACGTCCCACGAGCCGTTCTTCACGCATTTCCACGGTAGATCGGCATGCTACTAGTACTAGTATGGTGTATAATGTCAAGGTCACCTTCCTCTTCGCCGGCCTCCCTGTCACAGAACGACAGGAGTTTCCATAACAATACTAGTCTTGAAGGTACTATTCATCGCAGTCGCTCTTGCAATTATCTCGAGACTCGCAATGTGAAGGTGACTTATCGGGTAGCTATATTCTCGCCTCAGCACTCAGCAGCTGGTGTGGCGAACTGGAATTTCTGTGTGGAAAGCTTGTACATGACATTGTATAATAATATTATTGTACATTACCACAAAGCACTATGGACTGGATACACTCGGTGTAGAGCAATGGTGGCTTGCACGGCATACTCCTAGCAGCACTAAACATTGTACTACTGTTATGGACATGGACATCCGGTCACACGTCTAGCGTCCCCATTTTTTCCGCGGTTTGGCTAAAAAAAATTGAATTTTTTAGAAAATTTTAGAAAAGCATAAAAAGACGATATGCATTTTGATAAGATTTGGCCGCATTTTGCATTTCAATTTTTCCACAAAAAACGCGCAGAATCGGGCCAACCCTAGGCTAGGGTGCTGGCCATGCAGCCGTGGATAAGCGGTACACACATGCATTTTATGCGCTGCAGCGCGCTAGTCGCATCGGATCAACATGTGCCCTGCCCGGCCATGCCCCCCTCTGTCACATCTACTATGAAGCTGAAGGAAGCCTCAAGACTTCTTTTGACTCTTTCACACGGACACAAGAACCGAAAAGCAAAGGGCCAAAGCATCGTGGCTGGTCCTTTGCTGGACATGCGCCGTTGATGACGGTGGAGGCACTAGGTGTAATCAAAGAGGAAGAGAGTTATTACTATAATATTAGGCTTTTGCCGCTACTACTACTTAGTACTAGAGTACTACTACTAGTACTACTGTAGCGGACATGGAAATCCAGTCCATTGACCGGGGCCGTCGCCCTCAGCGCGTTCAGAACGCTGCGTGCAGTGGTGCACTTGCTGATCCGATACGACCAGCGCGCTTGTGCAGCGCATAAATGCATGTACATGTATGTACAGCTTATCGACGGCTGCATGGCCAGCGCCCTGGGGCCACTAGACGTGCGACCGGATTTCCATATGTCCACGGCCACGACAGTAGACTACGTGTAGACAAGGGAGTCGTAAAATACCGGTACAACTCCCTGATATATACGTGTACATAGTGTAGACTAGAACTAAAAAAGTTACTTGCGTCGGGCAACGGCAGATCCTGATTTTGACCCGCCGAAGTCGTAGGAGACAACTCGCCAGGGCCCGCCATGCTAACCGTCAAACTTCTTCCGACCAATCAGCGAAGTACTTCCCGGAAAGGTTCTCGAAACTAGTAGTTACAGTATCACCTTTACAGTGCTATGAATAATGCACCAAGTGCGAGTCGGCCGCTAGCGCTGTCTAGCGTCTACCGTACCCATGTAAGTCGGCCGCTAACGCTGTCTAGCGTCTACCGTACCCATGCTGGTCGGCTTCTAAAGCTGTCTAGTGTCTACCGTACCCGTGTTTAGACTACCGGTTCACCCGGTTCGCGCTATCGGACGCACGCAGCCGCGTCGTCAATGGCGCGAAGGGCCTGGGGCTGATGAGTGATTCTCGACGTTCTTCTTGCTCAGTTTTGGTTTGTGATGCGGCGGAGGGAGGTTGTGCTGCTATTCCTCCTCAATTTTCAGAAGTTCCTATGCAGAAGTAATTTTCCTGGAGACAAGCATTTCATGGCTCACTTTTAGTCGCCATCAAGAATATCTTGTGAACGTTTGAGTTAGATCGGTGGTCGCCAACTCGTTCAATTGCCATTTCCTCCCAGCAACCGCTAAAAGAAAATAATTGATGGGAAGTTATCGGGTGGTGAAGTCGGTGCTTTTGGATATCCGTAGCCACCATGTTGAGCAGAGTGCTGCTGAAGATGTTCTGAATCGTTCCGAAACAGTAAGGTGAGGTCCTACTTGGAAAGGCTGATCTTTTTCGTCTTCCTATCCAGTGGTATGCGTGCGTGCGTGCGTGCATAATTCGTACACCACTTGGCAAACAGGCTGCTCGGCCTCGACGAAATTTCTCTTCTGAAGTTCTGGATGGTGTTGGTTATTAGTTCCGTGACTAGCGCATCCCGTTAGTAACACTTGGTGTGATCGTTTCTTCTCTTGTTTGTTCCTTGCAACTACTACAAGTACCTATGAGTCAGCCCTCGGCATTCCTATCCGCACCAGTCTTCGGCACTGAGCATTCGGCAAGTGGACCATTCTGAACAAGCGCGAAGGCGGTTGGTCCGATTCTGCGCAAAAGTGATGTTATCATCGATAACTAGCTGGATGAAGGGATGGATGGTTTATGCTTATCGGCTGGGGGCGGATGTCAGCCAGGCAGGTGCCATGCGAGGAGCTCCAAGCCATACGCATTGTGGTCCCGGTGAGTAAATTTTCCATGAAAAAATCAGGACCTTTGTTTGGTTGACAGAATGTTACAATGCGGAGGACGCACTGTGTTCGGAAACAGTGCTCCTTACTACAGCCTCCACGGTTGGTAGTGCCCCGGTCTTGCCGCCAATGTCCATTTGAGCCGTATGGGTATTATACGCAGAGCGTCAGAGCGTCCTCAGCCTTGCAATATGCTGTCAACCAAACAACATGTTTTCAACCAAACAAGCCTTATCATAAGTTATCAAAATTAATTTCGCACCTTTGTATAGTTTTTCGAATTGCCGTACTTAATTTGCAAGAGTACCTTGTGTGCTAGGCATTTCCCAAGTTAGTTGGCGGGTCGAAAATTCACCAAAACCTTTATGTTAATTATAAAATATTAACTGGTTTGAGGGAAAGAGACAAACGGGAAAAGTCTGAAGAAAAAATTGACTGTCACCACCAGGACTCGAACCAGGGACCCTCGCTTGCTCACACTTCCTGTGAATCCACACAGGCGGGTGGGACGCAGCCCTCACTGTAACCCACACACTTCACGTACAAACTAGCACGCGGGGAGCCCCAAGTCATAAAATATTAACTGGTTTGAGGGAAAGAGACAAACGGGAAAAGTCTGAAGAAAAAATTGACTGTCACCACCAGGACTCGAACCAGGGACCCTCGCTTGTAGCCAGCGATGCTCTAACCACTGAGCTATGGTGTAGTCGTCATCCAAGCAGAGACCGTTCAACGTTTTCTTCAGACTTCGTAACTCACACTTCCTGTGAATCCACACAGGCGGGTGGGACGCAGCCCTCACTGTAACCCACACACTTCACGTACAAACTAGCACGCGGGGAGCCCCAAGTCATAAAATATTAACTGGTTTGAGGGAAAGAGACAAACGGGAAAAGTCTGAAGAAAAAATTGACTGTCACCACCAGGACTCGAACCAGGGACCCTCGCTTGTAGCCAGCGATGCTCTAACCACTGAGCTATGGTAAACATAATACTATGAAAGGTGACTACGAATTTAGGCGTTTTCGAAATCGGTCTGCACCAAAAGGCACTGACAAAAATGGTTTTTGAAGAAATTGCCGATATCTTGCCTGAATTTACAAATAACGCATTGAATTCGCCATAAATCGATGTTTTCGTGCCTCTACAGTGTGCATGTAATCGTACATGGACATGTATACTGTGAACGGTGACTCCAAGTACAGTCAGTATCGC